TAGTAAACAAGTTTTTAGTAAACATTGTCTTACAGCTGCCTACTCCCAGGCCAATGGGGAAGTGGGTCTCTGCTCAAGGTCTGGTGTCCTCACAATTTATAGGTCATCATTTCCATGTGCTTTCCTTATTGCGTTATTTGGATTTTTGTCTTTTGTGCTTTGATGGTGGACTCCGATGGAGGAGCAGATCCACTAGTTGTGGCATTCAGATAAAACTAAAATGGAGGCATTCAGATAAACTAAAATGGAGGCTACACTCACAGTAAATCCCTTTTCCTCCCTTTGCTGAAAGAAGGCAAGGCTGCCACAGTTGCTGCACTCTGCTGTTTTTTTTCAGACTGGAAAGGCGGGAGGAGAGAGACATTTCACTGGTGCCTTCATAGCTGTGGGACAACACTGCCATCATGCGGAACAGGATTCATGCACACCTTGCACATGCAGAGGCTGCTTGCCCAGAGCTCCTTCCAACGATTTTGGAAGGTGAGGGTCAGAGGCTTTCTTAAATGGCTGAGGTGGGCGCCTCCTACCAGGTTCTGTTACATTTTTATGTATTTAAACCTGAACAATGAGACCTGTTAGAGCTTTACTGTAGATGCTGTTGGCTGAGGACTCAGCTGTGCTGCGGTACAGAAACAGGAAGTAGAGGGGCGGGGCTTTGCAGTGCTAGGCTTGCCCTGGTGTCCTAGTACAGGAGGCGCCTCACTCTCCAGGTTCTGGTGAGAAAACTCTATAGTCTGTATTTCTCTGGAGGCCTTAGAAGTCAAGGAAGGCCATGTAGGCATCCACAGTTATTGTAGTTGTCTATAATCGCCATCTTCCCCAACAGCTAAGAATCATGGGAAGGAGACGCAGTGGCGCTGTGATTTTTTTGAAACTGCATCCGCATGATGGCAGTAGAGCTCCAGGAATGATCCTGTGAGTGCTTGTCTCCCGCCCTTCCTGTCTGAAAAAAACCCGCTAACCATAGACAAAGGAACCAGAGAAGATGGCTGCCCTGAGTTCTGCCTTCCTTTCAGTACTTTGAATATTGATTTTGGTGTGTGTCTTGTTTACTACATTTAGCAACATAGAGATCTGAATTTAGTGTCAGTAAGTCTTACCCGCAGTCCCTGTTTCTATTTGGACCTGAGGAGAAGTCAGGGGAGCCCAATCTGAGCCCTAACTGTAACCCATATCATAGAACTCTTTCCCTTCTGTTATGAAAGACATTTCCCTTTTCATTTTCACTCTATCCAGATGCCAGGGTTATTTAAAGTTTTGGTAGTATTGGTTTTTGTAGTTTTTACACAATAAGTATCTGGTATGACCTTTAGTAGCAAATAAATATGAATTTCCAAGACAGTATCTGAGAGTAGGTGAAGTCAGGGTGTAAGACCCCGAATTTATAGAAATAAAATATAAGCTTAAACAGGGAGGGTACCCCACTAGAGAACTTGGGAAGTGAACAAAGGACCCCATCCCAGGAACTGGCCATACCACAGAATGGAATGTATGGTTTAGAGACCTTAATTGCAGAAGGGCTGTAAATCGCCACAGAATGGAATGTATGGTTTAGCAACCTTAATTGCAGAAGGGCTGTAAATCCACAAAAAGCCAATTATGGGCTGCCACCTGTGAAGAACTGACCAGGGCAAACAAGACTAGTGGGAAACAAGGAGATAACACTATTTACTTAGGGAGAGATAAATTAACTCATGCCAAGGTTTGATGTGAAGGACATCTACTTCCCCTGGACAGGAGTCACGGACCCCCTTCCCCAGTCACGAGATAGGGACCCCTCCCAAAAGCTTGTGGTTTTTGTCTTTAAAAGCTGATTGTAACTGAACCTCGGGGCCAATTGGTCTAAAAGCTGACCGAGAGGCCCATCTGCAGATGCCTAATTAAAGCCTCTTGCATGTTGCATCAATTGGCGCGTGGACTCTTGATTCTTGGGGTGATGAATCCGGCTTGGGGACCCCTCCTCAATTCGGGGTACCCCAACAAGGGAAGCCCAAAGAAGCATGCACAGTGGTTGGTTCCAGTTTCCAGTAACCGCCATCTTGCGCCCTGACTAAGAATCATGGGAAGGAGAGTCAGCGGTGCTGTGATTTTTTTGAAACGGCACCCGCATGATGGCAGTAGAGCTCCAGGAATGATCCTGTGAGTGCTTGTCTCCCGCCCTTCCTGTCTGAAAAAACCTCTAACCATAGACAAAGGGACCAGAGAAGATGGCTGCCCTGAGTTTTGCCCAGATCTGAGTACTTTAAACAGTGTTTTTGGTGTGTGTCTTGTGTACTACAGCGACATGGAGATCTGAATTTACTGTCAGTAAGTGTTACCCGCAGTCCCTGTCTCTATTTGTACCTCAGGAATAGTCAGGGAAGCACCGAGTATGTACCCACAATTGTCTAGTTATCAGCAACCGCCATCTTGGTTAAGAATCATGGGAAGGAGACTCTGTGGCGCTGTGAGGTTTTTGAAACTGCGTCCGCATGATGGCGGTAGAGCTCCAGGAATGATCTTGTGAGTGCTTGTCTCCTGCCCTTCCTGTCTGAAAAAAACCGCTAATCATAGACAAAGGGACCAGAGAAGATGGCTGCCCTGAGTCTTGCCCAGGTCTCAGTACACTGAAAAGTTGTTTTATTTTTTGTCTTATTTTGCATTTGAAGCCAATCTGAGTCCTAACTGTAGCCCATGTCATAGAACTCTTTCCCTTCTGTTATGAAAGACATTTCCTTTTCATTCATTTTCACTCTATCCAGATGCCAGCATTATTTAAAGTTTTGGTAGTATTAATTTTTATAGTTTTTACACAATAAGTATGTGGTATGAGAGTTAGTATCAAATAAATATGAAGTTCCAAATGCAGATCAAGACAGTATCTGAGAGTAGGTAACATTTGGGCCATAAGTTCTCTGTCCTGGGTTTGTGCCCCAGCTTGGGGGATGGGGAGTTAACTAATTTGTAGGTTACAGAACTGGGAATTTTGCAGTTTCTAATACTGTGAGAAATGCTCCTGACAGTAATCTTACCTGCAGTCCCTGTTTCTATTTGGACCTGAGGAGAAGTCAGGGAAGCCCAAATAAGCTTGCACAGTGGTTCCAGTTATCAGTAACCGCCATCTTGTTCCATGACTAAGAATCATGGGAAGGAGACTCAGTGGCGCTGTGATTTTTTGAAACTGCATCCGCATGATGGCAGTAGAGCTCCAGGAATGATCCTGTGAGTGCTTGTCTCCCGCCCTTCCTGTCTGAAAAAAACCGCTAACCATAGACAAAGGAACCAGAGAAGATGGCTGCCCTGAAGCAAAGAAGATGGCCACCGAGTTTTGCCCTTCTCAGAGTTTTAGTGTATTTGGTGTGTGCCTTGTTTTCTACGTTTACCCTCATGGAGATGTAAATTTAGTGGAGGTATTAGGATTATTTTCATTCTGTCATGGAGAATATTTCCCATTTCTTTGGTAATTACTCTGTCTAGCTGCCTAGTTTTAATCAAATTGTGTAATTTTTTTTTCCTTTGGAATTATAGTAAAGTTGTGCTCTGAGATTTAGAAGCAAAGTGAAGTCAGCACATGCAGGTCAATGACTATAGCTGAGGGGTAAATGAGTACTCGTCCTGGTTTTGAGCCTCAATTTTGTGCCTGGGGAGCTAATGTATATATACACAGCAGTTATGTTCCTAGAAAGTTCCTAATGTGAATATTGTGAGGAATATCCATGTTGGAAATCTTAATTATAATATTCTCAGAATGGAAATTTAGGTATTGACTCATGAGATTAATAATGATGCCTGAGTATTGTGTTGAAATAATTTTATTACTATTGTTAGTAGTATATAGATATATATGTTTAAAATGGTATTGTTGGCAGGGTTTCTCTGTAGAGAGAAACTCCCTCTGTAAACCCTCAAAGCCACAGAGATCCTCTTGATCTGCTTCTGGAGTGCTGGGGAAAGGCGTGTGCCACCACCCTCTATATTATTGATCATTGTTTCACAATATCTTTTTACTTGTGTGTATTCTGGAGGCTGACAAAGTTCACTGACTAATAGAATATTTTTCAGTAACCTGGTATTGCCTTTTGACAGCAGATTGTTTAATTTCTCAAAATAATTGGCTTTCTGCATTCATTAATCTGTACTACAAACTCCATGTTGCATTTAAGCATATACTTCTATAACTCCAACTGGTGCACACACACATAAGCCCGTGAAAGTCACAAAGGAAGTGAACAATGCTGCCTCTTGTACTTGATGGCAACTAATGACAGGCCTACAACAGGTCAGTGTGCACAAGACGAGGCAGGAAGATTCTGAGAGCCTTAGGACAAGGGTGACATCCCGTAAATGGTGTTTTCCAGACACAACACGAACTGAGAGAGACTGGCGTTTTTATGTGTTGTATCTGTGTCTTATCTTCTTACATTCCGGATTATTATTTTTTTTTACTTTAAAGAGAGAAAGAAAGCCTAATGTGTTAGATGAGTGGGAAAGTCCAGGAATCTGAGAGGAGATTTGAAAGGAGAAGCCACGATCAAAGTATATTGTAGAGCTGACCTGGACAAGGGGGAGCTCATGGACCCCAGACTGATAGCTGAGAAACCAGCATAGGACTGACCCAGACCCCCTGAACTTGGGTTTCAGTTAGGAAGTCTTGGGCAATCTATGGGGCCTCTGGTGGATCAGTATTTATCCGTAGTATACGAATGGAATTTGGGAATCCATTACATGTAGAGGGATAGTCTCTCAGCCTGTACACATGGGGGAGAGCCTATGGCCTGTTCCAAAAGGTGTGACAGACTTCAAAGATGCCCCATAAAAGGCCTCACCCTCCCTAGGGAACAGAAAGGGGATGGGATAAGGGGTCCTTATGGGGCAGGGGAGGAGGGGAGGGAGAGGCAACTGGAATTGACATGTAAAACAAGATTGTTTCTAATTGAAATAAAAAATGAGAAGTATTGTATAAATAAATGAGTTTTCAATTAGCATAGCAAAGGCATGTGTTTTGTTTCCATTGTAAATAGAGTCCTGGAGGATGAGGAAGGCCTCTCTCCTAACGGAATTTCATCCCATAAGCCAGGACCTCAGCTAAAGCACTGACAAGGATGTGAGCTGTCTGTGCCACTTCTTTGGTGTTTAGACTAAGAGCTGCCAAAAAGAAATGGAGGCAACGTACAGGGTAGAATGTGACAGCAGCCAGGTATGTAGTTGAGTGTCAGCTGAATCTGTTCTTTTTTAGGTTTAATTAATTCATTTATTTTACATCCTTACCACAGTTTATACACCTTCTCCCATCCCTCCCTCCACTCCACTCTTCCTCTGTTTCTCTTCAGAAAGTGACGGGTCTCCCGTGGTTATCAACAAAGCATGGCATACCAAGTTCTAGTAAGTCTATGCACTTCCCTTTGTATTAAGGCTGGCCATGGCAACCCAGTATGAGGAATAGGTTCCTTAAAGCCAACCAAAGCCCCTGCTTCCACTTTTAGGAGTTCCAGAAGTACACCAAGCTACACAAACACTGTCACATATACATAGAAGTCCTAGGTTTATCCCATGCAGGTTCCCTGGTTGTTGGTTTAGACTCTGAGTACCTATGATCCAGGTTGTTTCTGTGGGCTTTCTTGTGATGTCCTTGACTAATCTGGCTCCTATAATCCTTCATCAAGATTCTCTTGAGCTTGGCCTAATGGTTGGATGTGGATCTCTGCACTTGTTTCCATCAGTTACTGAATATGAAGGTCTTCTAATGACAATTGGGTTAGTCACAGATCTGATCAGTGGAGATGGACAGTTAAGGTTTTGTATCCACTATTGCACAGATTCTTAGCTGGGGTCATTCTTGTAGATTTATTATTGGTTTCTACCTGATGCCAAAATGTCCCAGCTTTCCAGTCGTTTCTTTCAATACTCTTGCCCCACAGTGCAATCCCCCAACCTGGGCCCTCAAGTTTGCATCCCTATGTACCCCCAGTCCACCCAGGATGTCTTGTCTTCTCTATTTCCCTTGTCCAGGAAGATATGAGCAACCCCCTTGAACACTCCTCGTTACCCAGTCTCTCTGGATTTGTGTGTTGTAGCATGGTTATCCTATACTGTACAGTAAATATTCACTTATGAGTGAGTACATACCATGTTTGTCTTTCTGGGTTTGGGTTACCTCACTCAGGATGATTGTTTCTAGTTCCATCCATATGCCTGCAAATTTCCTGATGTAAATGTTTTTAACAGTTGAGTAATACTCCATTTTGTAAATGTACTACATTTTTAATGCATTCTTCTGTTGAGGGGCATGTAGGTTGTTCCTATTCAGTAGGCTACCATTTTATCCTAATTGACAGTATCCTTTGCCATACAGAAGCTTTTCAGTTTGATGAGGCCCCATTTATTCATTGTTGATCTTAGTGCCTGAACTATAGGTGCTCTCCTCAGAAAGTTGTCTCCTGCCCCTATGAATTCCAAGTTACTTCCCACTTTCTCTTGTATCAGGTGCAGTGTATCTGAATTTATGTTGAGGTCTTTAATCTGCTTGGACTTGAGTTTTATGCAGGGCTATAGATACGGATCTATTTACATTCTTCTACATGTTGACATCAGAGTTATACCAGCACCATTTGTTGAAGATGCTGTCTTTTCTCCACTGTATAATTTTGGCTTCTTTGTCAAATATCAGGTGTCCATAGGTGTCTGGATATATTATGTCTGGATCTTTGATTTGATTCCATTCATCCACCTGTTTTTATGCCAGTACCATGCTGTTTTTATTACTATAGTTTTGTAGTAGAGCTTGAGATCAGGGATGGTGGTATCCTCAGCAATTTTTTTTTGGATTATACAGAATTATTTTGACTATCCTGTTTTGTTTTGGTTTTTTTTTTGGCATATGAAGTTGAGTATTGTTTTATCAAGGTCTGTAACAAACTGTTGGAATTTCATTGGGATTATGTTGAATCTCTAGGTTACTGTTGTTAGATTGTCCATTTTTCCTATGTTAATCCTACTGATCCATGAGCATGGGAGACTTTCCATCTTTTGATATCTTCAATTTCCTTCTTCAATGACTTGAAGTTTTTATCATACAGGTCTTTCACTTGCTGACTTAGAATTACCTCAAGATATGAATAAGTTCTTTTTTTTCCAGACATGATTTCTCTTTATTGTTTTGAAGGCTGTCGTGGAACTTGCTCTGTAAACCAGGATGGCATTGAACTCATAGAGATCTACCTGCCTCTGCCTCCCAAGTGCTGGGATTAAAAGGCATGCACCACCAATGCCCAGCTGAATAAGTTCTTTTAAGGCCCAAATTTCACTTTTCATTTCAGACAGGATCCCCTGAACTGGCTACAGTAGTGAATTCAGTATCATTTGAAATGCTAGGTGATAAATACAAACAACACCCATTGACAACATGGAGGGCAGAATTTAACTCATGAGAAAATATTAAGAGTGGAGGTGGTAAGTTGAGGCCACAATTTGTTTTCACAGAGAACACCAGACCAAGAGAATAGCACTTCCAACTGTGCAAAATACAAAGCAGTTAGAATTCTTGTTGGTGTTTTTTTTTTTTTTTTTTTCCAAATAAGAAGGGCAGGACAAGATGTCTCAAAATGGCAGTTTCATAGTCATGCAGAACAATACTGCCACCATGAGGATGCAGTTTCCACACAGATAATGCCATTCTAGCTTCCTGCCCTCTCCCCAGAGTAAGGGCTGTGGAGGCCTGGAGGATCTGGTGCTATATACTGGGCTTCACTTCCTTGTATTCCTCTAAGAACCTCTAACCTAGGTATTAGATTTATGGAGCAGTCATATTTACTGTTAAAATAGTTTTGTGCTGTTTTCCATAATCTCTTAATTGGTCCTGAGTGCATAGTGCATTAAAATGAATAGTAGTAGATGCCTTGAGATTACATATTTTTATATGATTTTTTTTTTTAGGTTTTTTTGAGACAGGGTTTCTCTGTATTGTTTTGGAGGCTGTCCTGGTACTCTCTCTGTAGACCAGGCTGGCCTCGAACTCACAGAGATCCGCCTGCCTCTGCCTCCCGAGTGCTGGGATTAAAGGCGTGCGCCACCAACGCCAGGCTTTTATATGATTTCTTACTTTCCCCATTTGTCTTAAAAAAAACTGTCAAGTGGTAGAAAAAATATTTAAAATTATCAGTTCAACAAGCAAGGAAATTTGAGGCTGTGCAGTGAATTGTGTTCATGGGGTACTTGTAACATGATTGAGGACTTGTGTTTGATTCTATGCACTCCCTATTCAGTGGAGGTAGCCTGTAATCCCAGCACTAGAACATGAAGGCAGGAAGATCAGCAGTTTAAAGTCATGCTAGGCTACATTGGGTCTTTAGACCAGTGGGCTTAAGACCCTGTCTCATAAAATGAAAGAAAACCTAACCTGATAAGCATTCCATAGAAAATAGTTTAAAAATGTTGGAAATGGTTTGTGGAAATTTTTTTTTGCTGTTTTTTCAATAAATTTACAGTGTTAATGAAGAGTATATATTGATATCTATTCATCTATGAGGATTGTAGAGCTTAAAAATGGGATCCCTTACAAACCAGGCAAGATAGAATACACCTCAGAGACGAGATCAAATTCATAGATGCCTTCATCTCTAAGCACCGAAGTTTAATTCCAGGACATTCTTCTGTTTCTTTTGTATCTTGATAACAACGATTTGATGCATTGGCAAGTAGGGGGCATAGAGTGCTGGGAAGAAATGCCCAGATGAATGACTACTTTCCTTAGAGAAAGCATGCACACATGTCAGTTCTGAGAAATGAGTGCTTACACTGAAAGTGATCGATTTAGGATCATTTGGTTCCTGATAGAAAACAAAACAAAAATTAGACTCCTTGGCAGTTCTTCCCAAAAGTTCTAACTGTTGTGTTTCTTGGTATCTTATTCTCTCCGTGATGTTTTTCAGGTAGGAAGGGTAGGAGAAGAGCAATAAGATGACGCTTTCGACCAGAGCAAGTGCATTAGTGAAAATGCTTGGGATTCTGGAGCATCTTCTTTAGCAGTGACCATCCTCCTTACAGGCCACATTCCATTGCATACACAACGCCTATTATGTCCTTCACAATAGGAATATGAGAAAATGAGCCTGCCTGAAAACCAAGATTCCTGATAGCTAATTTGCTCTCATCCAGGCACTGAATTTTCTGGAGTTTCATTATTGACCTGCAACTGGATGCTGAGATCAAAACAGAATAGGGCACCAGGAGAAAGCACTAGAGGTGGAATTCTGCTGGATGAAGAAGGGGGAAATACAGGATGCATCCTTGACTAGGCTCTTCTTCAGGAGAGAAGATGCACAAGGAAAGTTCGTGCTCCAGACTGCACTTTCATCTTCTTGTTTGCTTGCTATTTTTTTCTTACGTGATTATTTTTTTCTTCTGTCTTTGGTGCTGGAGTTCTGGTGTAGGTCTTTATCCATCAGATTTGATATCAATATAAAATGGCGATATATGGGCTGTCAGGGGAAGAGACCTGAAGTGAGGTTTCTTTGCTCTTCTAGGGCAACACTGCCATCATGCAGAACATGTTTTCATACATGCCAGAAAACACAGGGTTTCCTCACTTCTCACCAATTTGAAGGTGAGGGAATTCTTAGATAATCAAGCCTGGCCTCCTACCAGTTTTTTCTTTCATTCTACACAGAAGAGAATCATGGGGCCTTTCAGAATGTTAACAAAGACCCAGTTGATGAAGGGACCTGTACCAAATACAATTCAAATGCAAATTTATTAAATGTTGAGTTTGTTCACAGTACAAAGTGACTGGAATTTATAGTCATTTCAGTATACATGGCACTCCAAATGCTAGGAAGCATTATATCCTGAGACCTACTTAGGTCATTGCAGGCGGGTAGTCAACCTCCAGCTGGACACCCAAGTCCTGTTGCCTGGATCAGGATGTGGGTATGGTGCCCAGGGTATCTGTGAAGTGAATCTGGCAGAGAACCAGGTTTCCTGGGTTCTAGATGTGATTGACTGACAGCATTTACTTCTTCTACCTAGAAGTGGAGCCCAAGATGTGGCCTGCAGAGACATTCCTGTACCAGGAGTGAGGTCTGGAGGTGGAGCCCTGCCTGGAGAAGAAGAAACTGCAGGCTCTGTCATCATCTGTCCAGGGACTTCCTCAAATAAGATGATGCCCGAGGAAGGTGGGTGCCTCGGGTCTCCCCCTTCTTTGTCTTCCCCTCTTGCTTAGGTCATAATTTCCTTGTGCTTTCCTTGTTGCGTTATTTGCATTTTTGTCGTTGTTGCTTTGATGATGGATTCCGATGGAGGAGCAGATCCACTAGTGGCATTCAGATAAATTAAAATGGAGGCATTCAGATAAACTAAAATGGAGGCTACACTCACAGTAAATCCCTTTTCCTCCCTTTGCTGAAAGAAGGCATGGCTGCCACAGTTGCTGCACTCTGCTGTTTTTTTCAGACTGGAAAGGCGGGAGGAGAGAGACATCTCACTGGTGCCTTCATAGCTGTGGGACTACACTGCCATCATGCGGAACAGGATTCATGCAAACCTTGCACATGCAGAGGCTGCTTGCCCAGAGCTCCTTCCAGCGATTTTGGAAGGTGATGGTCAGAGGCTTTCTTAAATGGCTGAGGTGGGCGCCTCCTACCAGTTTCTGTTACATTTTTATGTATTTAAACCGGAACAATGAGACCTGTTAGACCTTTACTGTAGATGCTGTTGGCTGAGGACTCAGTAGTAAGTACACAGCTGTGCTGCTGTGCAGAAACAGGAAGTGGAGGGGCGGGGCTTTGCAGTACTAGGCTTGCAGTATGCCCTGATGTCCTAGTGCAGGAGGCGCCTCACTTTCCGGATTCTGGTGAGAAAACTCTACAGTCTGTATTTCTCTGGGGGCCTTAGAAGTCAAGGAAGACCATGTAGGCCCACAGTTATTGTAGTTGTCTGTAATCTCCATCTTCCCCCACAGTTAAGAATCATGGGAGGAGACGCAGTGGCGCTGTGATTTTTTTGAAACTGCATCCGCATGATGGCAGTAGAGCTCCAGGAATGATCCTGTGAGTGCTTGTCTCCCGCCCTTCCTGTCTGAAAAAACCTCTAACCATAGACAAAGGGACCAGAGAAGATGGCTGCCCTGAGTTGTGCCCAGATCTCAGTACTTTGGAAAGTGTTTTGGTGTGTGTCTTATTTTCTACATTTAGCGACATGGAGATCTGAATTTAGAGTCAGTAAGTCTTACCTGCAGTCCCTGTCTCTATTTGGACCTTGGGAGAAGTCAGGGAAGCCCGAGTAAGCACCCACAATTGTCTAGTTGTCAGTAACCGCCATCTTGTTCCATGGCTAAGAATCATGAGAAGGAGATTCTGGCGCTGTGATTTTTTTTTGAAACTGCATCCGCATGATGGCGGTAGATCTCCAGGAATGATCCTGTGAGTGCTTGTCTCCCGCCCTTCCTGTCTGAAAAAAACCGCTAATCATAGACAAAGGAACCAGAGAAGATGGCTGCCCTGAGTTTTGCCCAGATCTGAGTACTTTAAACAGTGTTTTTAGTGTGTGTCTTGTTTACTACATTCAGTGACATGGAGATCTGAATTTGCTGTCAGTAAGTGTTACCCGCAGACCCTGTCTCTATTTGTACCTGAGGAATAGTCAGGGAAGCCCGAGTAAGCGCTCATAACTGTCCAGTTGTCAGTAACCGCCATCTTGTGCTATGACTAAGAATCATGGGAAGGAGACGCAGTGGCGCTGTTATTTTTTTTGTTTGAAACTGCATCCGCATGATGGTGGTAGAGCTCCAGGAATGATCCTGTGAGTGCTTGTCTCCCGCCCTTCCTGTCTGAAAAAAACCGCTAACCATAGACAAAGCCAGAGAAGATGGCTGCCCTGAGTCTTGCCCAGGTCTCAGTACACTGAAAAGTTGTTTTAATTTTTGTCTTATTTTGCATTTGAAGCCAATCTGAGTCCTAACTGTAGCCCATGTCATAGAACTCTTTCCCTTCTGTTATGAAAGACATTTCCCTTTTCATTTTCACTCTATTCAGATGCCAGCGTTATTTAAAGTTTTGGTAGTATTGATTTTTGTAGTTTTTACACAATAAGTATCTGGTATGAGATTTAGTAGCAAATAAATATGAATTTCCAAGACAGTATCCGAGAGTAGGTGAAGTCAGGGAAGCCCAAATAAGCATGCACAGTGGTTCCAGTTTTCAGTAACCACCATCTTGCGCCCTGACTAAGAATCACGGGAAGGAGAGTCAGCGGTGCTGTGATTTTTTTGAAACTACATCCGCATGATGGCAGTAGAACTCCAGGAATGATCCTGTGAGTGCTTGTCTCCCGCCCTTCGTGTCTGAAAAAACGCCATCCAGAGACAAAAGTTAGCTGCCTGGAATTTCCCCAGCTCTGAGTATTTTGACAAATTATTTTACTTTGAGTCCTAACAGTAGGCAATGCCAGAGGACTGTTTTCCTTTCGTTTTGAGGACATTTATTTCCCTGTTCATTTTCATTCTATGTCGCTGCCTAATGTTCTTTAGATTTTTGATAGTGTTAATTTTTGTAGCTTTTATACAATAAATAAGTGTATGAGCTTTAGTAGCAAATAAATATGTAGTTCCAAATGCAGACCAATGGCAGTAGCTGAGAGCATATAACATTTGGGTTACGTGGTCTTTGCCCATGCTTTTATTCCCGGTTTTGGTGGTGGGCAGTTAAGTCATTTGTAGGTTACAGGTATTGGGAACCAACAGCACTCAAGTGGCCCACATGCATTCCTGAGAGAAATCACTGCTACACGTAAATGTTAAAACTAAGTTAGTATCCATTGATGCTGTGTTTGTAGCTCAGTTAGTAAAGTCCTTTCCTGGCATACAGAAAGACGTAGGTTTCATCAGCAGCACATTGTAAATTGAATTCTAGACAATCAACCCTCGCCATCGCTACTATGTCAGAGAATATCTAAGAAAAAATCCTGAAGAATGTCTAATAAGTATATGATGTACTTGTGCTATAATAAATGACAAAATGTTGAAGTATGAACTGGTTAGGTATAATATTTATGTAGTGTAATCAGTGTCCTGTATTTGTTCATTTATGTGAAGACAAATACTGGGGCTGTTGAGTGACAGCGGTGCCTGCTTCCTAGCCTGAGCACCTGAATTCCATACCTGGAAATCTAATGGTGGAAGACAACAGTTCCTACAGGTTGTCCTCTGACATCTCCATCATCCAAACACATGAAATCAACACATACATGTACATCAATTTTTAAAGGCAAGTAGATAGTAATGAGACTTACAGATTGTTTAAATATATTCACTTCAAAATGTTGCTGCAATACACAGTTTCATTTTATAGCATACACATTTTACTGTAGGATATTTTCAGGGAACCTAAATATAAAAGTAATTTCATGTACATCGTACAACTGAATCAAACCAGCTAAAAATTGTCATTTGTCTACTAGGGCTGTATGGAGTAGTGATAACAGTGAGAAACTCTGTTTTCTAAACACACACAGACACACAAGAAAGTTAAAGAAGTTGAAAAATGCTTCATAACTTCCTCTTAGTAGATGGGAACCAATATAGAGACCCACATCTGGCTAGTGTGCCGAGAGTAGGAGACTTTGGAAGTCTTAAATGCAATGTCATCGTCTAATCTCTCTGCTCAGGGATGAGGGTGAGATGAAGAAAACAGTGTCTTTCAGACACACCAGGACTGACACACTTTAGAATTCCCAGAGACAGTGCTTGTCCGCATGTGTTGGGCCTGCACAGGTTGAAGCTACACATGGTCCCAACGCTGAAGTTGAAAGTGAACACAAATCCCTACTCTGTACCAAGAAGCTATCTTCAGTTGACCCCCACTTGGAAAGGAAGTTTTAGTTTTGTCTTCTGGAGGCTTGGTGGGTACACAAACCACTCTTAAGGGTTGGCCTCATACCTGGTAGGCAATCAGTCTCCATCTCAGAACAAACTCAATGGAATTTTCCTAGAATCTTTAGTCTCATATTGCTCTTTGGGCATATTTTCTAAATAACTGCTGTTTTGTTTGCATGTTATGGTTTCTGAGCTTCTCTTTATGTTTTGTGTGTGTGTGTGTGTGCGCGCGCGCGCGTGTGTGTGCGTTTTTGTGATTCTTACGTGCCTGTGATTGTTTGCCTTTCCTTTTATTGTGGTTTGTTTGTGCTTAGAGTCTGGGATAACATGTAGGGGGAAGCATGATCAAAATATATTGTATGAAAATTTTTTTCAATTAAATTCCATTCCACAGGATGAAAGAGTTCTCTGTCTCCTAGTGGAAGTGCATACCATGTGCAGGGCCACAGTCTCCAAAGCAGTGACTGATGTGAGCTGTCTCTGCCTGTTTGGTCCTTCTACAAAGAGTTGCCAACAATTCATCACGGAGTACGAAGAATGGAGGTGCGCTACAGGGTAGATGGTCAGGACAGCCAGGTGTGCAGTCAGTTGGTGCCTCTTCGTTTCACAGAACATCTGCCTAACTGGCTAAAGGAGAGGGTTCGATGTGATTTGAAATGCTTAGTGATAAATAACATGGAGGGGACAATTTAGCATATAAGAATATATTAATGTTCCCGGAGAACACCAGACTAAAATCACAGCACTTTGAGCTTGTTCCTTCCAACTCTCCAGAATGCAAGGCAGCCTTATTTCTGGTTAGTATTTCCTTTTTTCAAACAAGAAGGAGGGGATAATGGCGGTTTCATAGCCCTGTAGAACGATACTGCCGCAATGAGGATGCAGTTTCCACACAGCGCCATTCTTCTTCCTTCCCTCTCCTGAGAGCAAGGGATGCAGAGGCCTAGAGAATCTGGTGCTGTATGCTAGGCTTCATTGAGTTCCTCTAGGACCCTCGACCTAAGTGTTATAATTAATGGAGCAGTTACGTTTATTGTGAAATTACTGTTGTGTTATTTTCCATAAGAATCTATTAATTGGTCTTGAGTGTATCACAATGAATACTAGTAGGTGTTTTGAGATTGCTTATTTTGATATGATTCCCCCGAATCTCTGTATTTTCTCTTTAAATAGAACTTATTTTCTGACTCCATGTACAAAAAAATAATTAAAATGACAGGTGGTGGCGATGCATGCCTTTAATCCCAGCACTCAGGATGCAGGGTTCGAGGCTATCCTCTACAAAGCTAGTTCCAGGACAGCTAGGGCTGTGACACAGAGAAAAAAAGACAATGAATGTGTAGGCCAGGTAGTGGCAACACATGCCTTTAATCTCAGGAAGATATTAGTGAGGTTTGAAAGCAGCCTGGTCTGCAGAACAAGTTCCAGGACATCCAGAGCTCCACAGAGAAACCTTGTCTGGGGTGGTGGGAGACTTAATCTTGAGGCCATTCAGTGAAAGGAATTGCTAGAGGAGTTGCTCTCCTGCTGCTGCAGCGAGCTTGCTGCCATGCACAGGAGTAACTTCAAGAACGCTGTCAACTGATTGGAATTTATAGACAGTACAATATATTTATCACTCTAAATAAAATTACAATTATTCAGAATTGAGAAACACTTGTGTTCTCCTTCCAGGGTGACAGTGATCACCTTGCACTGCATAAGCAAGGCCTGCTACATCTGTCAGGAGAGCATGTCTGATGCCCATGTGAAGGCACTGGAGGTCAGATGTTGCTGGGTGCAGAATGGCAGAGATGCAGGATGTGATCACTGGCTGAATGCTGACTTCGTCAGAAGAGGAGCATGAGGAAGGTAACCGGTCCAGTGTCCTTCCTTCTTACATCATGGGCATTTTGGTCTGTTGTCTTTGGAGTCCCATCTCAGGATGCTATCCACTAGATTTGACAATGAATGAGAAAGGCAGGGAAACGAAGGAGTACATCACTCTTCCTCACTTCAGAAGCCGAGTCTGCCGCCATTACTGGACTCTCCACCTGTATTGGAAGTTTTTTCTGATCAGACAGGTGGGGCAGAGAGCTGCAGGCTGCTTGCTTTGTCTCTTCTAGATCTACACTGCTGTCATGCAGAAAGTATTTCATACATATGTGAACACTGATCTCGTCCTGCATACCCGGCCATAGATGTCTGCAGGAAAGCTGTGATCTGGGCGCTATTAAATGCCCATGTTTAGTTTCCCTATACAAAATATTTCATACATACTCAGGTCTAGACCTCTTCCTTAATGCTTCTTCTAGACATTTTGAAGATTAGGGTCTGGGAGTTTCATTTAAGCCAACTAGGAGCCCATGGTTCTAGCTGTCTGTAATCACCACCCCCTACTTCTGGTGTCTGTGTGTCTAGTCAACAGTGTGCACCTCATTATACAGGTTCGGCTCGGAAAGCTCTAGATCCTGTGTTTCTGTTTTGGGCCTAGAAGTCAAGGAAGACAGTATCACTATGTGCAGCCAGCTGTTGTCCACTCAGACGGGGTGCCTCACTCTCTAGGTTGCGATGAGAAAGCCCCTGTTGACTGAGAGATCCCTAACAAGTCACAGCTGTTCTGCGATTAGGAACCAGGAAGCAGAGGGGCAGGGTTAGCTCTGTCCAGCTTGCACTGTGATCCTACTAGCTGGTGGCCTAGGGCAGGAGGTGCCTGCCTATCCAGGTTCTGATGAGAAGACCTTGTAGTCTACAATCTGTTTGGACCTGAGGAGAAGTCAGGGAAGCCCGAGTAAGCACCCACAATTGTCCAGTTGTCATTAATGTTGTCTAGCGCCATGGCTAGGAATTATGGGAAGGAGACTTAGTGGCACTGTGGTTTTTTTGAAACTGCATCCGCATGATGGCGGTAGATCTCCAGGAATGATCCTGTGAGTGCTTGTCTCCCGCCCTTCCTGTGTGAAAAAAAAAACCGCTAACCATAGACAAAGGGACTAGAGAAGATGGCTGCCCTGAGGTTTGCTTTTCTCTGAGTACTTTTAACAGTGTTTCACTTTTATCTCATTTTGTGCCTGAAGCTAATCTGATGCCAAACTGTAGCCAATGTCATAGGACTGTTTTCCTTCTGTTTTGGAGCACATTTCCCTTTTCAGTCATTTTCACTCTGACCAGCTGCCTAGTATTACTTGAATGTTTTTCCATTTCCAGACTTTTAAGGCTTCCTTAAATGCAGTATTTATTTGTTCGGATTTTCAGGATGGAGCCCCATCCCCATCCACCAATGTTAAAGTACCCTGTTGACTGAGTGACCAGTGCATAGTTGGCCTTAGGTTCAGGAACAGGAAATAGGGGGGGCGGGATTTGTACTGCTCAGCTTGCTGCATGAATCTCCTAGGGCAGGAGGCGCCTCACCCTCCAGGTGCAAACACTGCAGCCTCCTTTCTGTTGGGACCTGAGGAGAAGTCAAGGAACCCCAAATAAGCATGCACAGAGCTTCCAGTTGTCAGTAACCGCCATCTTGTTCCATGACTAAGAATCATGGGAAGCAGACTCAGTCATGCTATGATTTTTTTGAAACTGCATCCGCATGATGGCAGTAGATCTCCAGGAATGATCCTGTGAGTGCTTGACTCCCGCCCTTCCTGTCTGAAAAAAACTGCTAACGATAGACTAAGGGACCACAGAAGATGGCTGCCCTGAGTTTTGCCCAGATCTCAGTACTTTAAACAGTGTTTTTGTTCTGTGTCTTGTTTTCTACATTTAGCTACGTGAAGATCTGAATTTAGTGTCAGTAAGTCTTACCTGCACTCCCTGTTTCTATTTGGACCTGAGGAGAAGTCAGGGAAGCCCGAGTACAATAATACAGTTGTCAGTACCCGCCTTCTTGTTCCATGACTAAGAATCATGGGAAGCAGACTCAGTGGCGCTATGATTTTTTTGAAACTGCATCCGCATGATGGCGGTAGAGCTCCAGGAATGATCCTGTGAGTGCTTGTCTCCCGCCCTTCCTGTCTGAAAAAAACCGCTAACCATGGACAAAGGAACCAGAGAAGATGGCTGCCCTGAGTTTTGCCTTTCTCTGAGTACTTTTAACAGTGTTTCACTTTTATCTCATTTTGTGCCTGAAGCTAATCTGATGCCAAAACATAGCCAATGTCATAGGACTGTTTTCCTTCTGTTTTGGAGCACATTTCCCTTTCCAGTCATTTTCACTCTGACCTAGTGTTACTTGAATGTTTTGGTAGTATTAATTTTTTTTTTTTTTTTTTTTTTTTTTGGTTTTTTTCGAGGCAGGGTTTCTCAGTAGCTTTGAAGGCTGTCCTGGAACTAACTATTGTAGACCAGGCTGGCCTCGAACTCACACAGCCTGCCTCTGCCTCCCGAGTGCTGGGATTAAAGGCGTGAGCCACCAACGCCAGTTGGTAGTATTAATTTTTGTACTTTTCACACAATAAATATGTGCTCTGAGATTTAGGAGCAAAGGAACAAGAAGTTACCACATGAATGACAATGTTTATAGCTGAATGATATTTTAATTTCTTTGTATTTATCTGCTCAGTTTTTTACCTTTTCCAGATTTTTAAGGTTTCCTTAAATGCAGTATTTATTTGTTTAGATTTTCATAAAATAAAGACATGCTATGAGAATTATAAGCAAGGTATGCTGATGTTAACCCATACAGGGCAGTGTACAGCTTACACCTCTTAATTTCTGTTGAGCTTACATTTTATGGTAGCTGAGTTCTCTGTCTTATTTAAGAAGAGTTTGTTTGGTTTGCAATGCCGGGGAAATATTTAGGGCCCTTTGCTGGATACACAAAGGTGTTCCCAATTTACATGTTGAAAAGCCAGGGATACAGATTGTTTTGAGGATGTCTCATCCTACCAAGTATTAGTGGCCCTGTATGAGATCTGAGAGCAGGTCATCCTGAAGACCTGAGTTTCATCTCTAGGACTGAAACAATGGAAGGCGTGTTCTCAGTCCTGCAAATTGTCCTCTGATTCCACATTTAGTATGCAGCCTTAGCCCCATCGACACACACCCAGGCAGACACACAGTATACAAAAAGCAGCTCAGAATAGCAGCATATTGGTGGCACACACCTTTCATCCCAGCACTTGGGAGGCAGAGGCTGGTGGATCTCTGTGAGTTCGGGGTCATCCTGGTCTACTGAACAAGTGCCAGGATAGGCTCCAAAGCTACACAGACATACCTTATCTTCAAAAATCAAAAAAGAAAAAAAAAACTAGAACAGGAGGAATCTACCCTCCAGCTGTGACAGAGGTGAGGAAGAAACTTGATAAGGCTCCTAATCTGAGTGGAAGTGTAGGTTAGGCATAATTCTAGGTTGGCATGGAAATACTGGGAGAACATTTCTATTGAAAGAGAAGGGGGAGAGAGAGAGAGAGAGAGAGAGAGACGGGGGGGGGTGGTGGAAGAAAAATCACAGCCACAGCAAAAAAAAAAAAAAAAAAAAAAGCAACCACAGTATAGACATTTTAAGAAAATGTCTATGAAAAATTGTTCCCTAAGGTCATGAAGGACTCCAGGCTCTTAAGGCAAGGACAGCACAGGGAAGTCTGCAAACTCATTTCAGGGGAGAGCAGCAGGACAAAGGGCCCTAAGACTGCAGGAGTGATTTGGTTCCTTTGGTTCTGTTCAGGATGGAGCCCCATCTCCATCCGCTGATGTGGCTATGTTAAAGTATCCTGTTGACTGAGAGACCAGTGCATAGTTGGCCTTAGGTTCAGGAACAGGAAATAGGGGGGGCCGGAATTGGACTGCTCAGCTTGCAGCATGAATCTCCTAGGGCAGGAGGCGCCTCACCCTCCAGGTGCAAACACTGCAGCCTCCTTTGAGAAGTCAGGGAACCCCAAATAAGCATGCACAGAGCTTCCAGTTGTCAGTAACCCCCATCTTGGGCCATGACTAAGAATCATGGAAGGAGACTCAGTCATGCTATGATTTTTTTGAAACTGCATCCGCATGATGGCAGTAGAGTTCCAGGAATGATCCTGTGAATGCTTGTCTCCCGCCCTTCCTGTCTGAAAAAAACCGCTAATCATAGACAAAGGGACCAGAGAAGATGGCTGCCCTGAGTTTTGCCTATCTCTGAGTACTTTAAACAGTGATTTTGGTGTGGTCTTGTTTACTACATTTAGCGACATGGAGATCTGAATTTAGTGTCAGTAAGTCTTACCTGCACTCCCATGCTCTTGGACCTGAGGAGAAGTCAGGGAAGCCCGAGTAAGTACCCACAATTGTCTAGTTGTCAGTAACCTCCTTCTTGCGCCATGACTAAGAATCATGGGAAGGAGAGTCAGCGGTGCTGTGATTTTTTTTGAAACTGCATCCGCATGATGGCAGTAGATCTCCAGGAATGATCCTGTGAGTGCTTGTCTCCAGCCCTTCCTGTCTGAAAAAAAAAACGGCTTACCATAGACAAAGGGACCAGAGAAGATGGCTGCCCTGAGTCTTGCCCAGATCTCAGTACTTTGAAAAGTTATTTTATTTTTTGTCTTATTTTGTATTTGAGTCCAATCTGAGTCCTAACTGTAGCCCATGTCATAGAACTCTTTCCCTTCTGTTATGAAAGACATTTCCTTTTTCATTCATTTTCACTCTATCCAGATGCCAGTGGTATTTAAAGTTTTGGTAGTATTAATTTTTATAGTTTTTACACAATAAGTATGTGGTATGAGAGTTAGTATCAAATAAATATGAAGTTCCAAATGCAGATCAAGACAGTATCTGAGAGTAGGTAACATTTGGGTCATAAGTTCTCTGTCCTGGGTTCGTGCCCCAGCTTGGGGGATGGGGAGTTAACTAATTTGTAGGTTACAGAACTGGGAATTTTGCAGTTTCTAATACTGTGAGAAATGCTCCTGACAGTAATCTTACCTGCAGTTCCTGTTTCTATTTGGACCTGAGGAGAAGTCAAGGAACCCCAAATAAACATGCACAGTGGTTCCAGTTTTCAATAACCGCCATCTTGCGCCATGACTAAGAATCATGGGAAGGAGACTCAGTGGCACTGTGAGGTTTTTGAAACTGCATCCGCATGATGGCAGTAGAGCTCCAGGAATGATCCTGTGAGTGCTTGTCTCCCGCTCTTCCTGTCTGAAAAAAACTAACCATAGACAAAGGAACCAGGGAAGATGGCTGCCCTGAGTTTTGCCTTTCTCTGAGTGTTTTGGAAAGTGTGTTTGGGTGGCTTGTTTACTACATTTAGCGACATGGAGATCTGAATTTAGTGTCTAAGTCTTACCTGCAGTCCCTGTTTCTATTTGGACCTGAGGAATAGTCAGGGAAGCCTGAGTAGGAGGCACCCACAATTGTCTATTTGATAGTAACTGCCATCTTGTGAAGGAGACTCTGTGGTGCTGTGATTTTTTTTTTTTTTTTGAATTTGCACCTTCATGATGGCAGTAGATCTCCAGGAATGATTTTGTGAGTGCTTGTCTTCCACCACCCAGAGAAAGAAACCAGAGAAGATGGCTGCCCTGAGTTTTGCCCTTCTGAGTACTTTGAAATGGTTTTTGTCTTATGTTTCAGATGATGCCAAACTGAGTCCTAAATCTAACAAATGTCATAGAACTCTTTCCCTTCTGTTAGGTAGCACATGGAAGTAAGAGCCAGAGCACCAGTGTACAGTAAGGTAAGCTTGTCTCTTCAAGCTGGGCAAACTGCTCGGCAGGCATATTTCTTGGTGCCTTTGTCCATGGTTGGCATTTTTCCACACAAGAAGGGTAGGAGAAGAACTCGCAGAAATGGCTCTTGCATACCTGGGTGGGAATCTATTGCCCCCATGAATAAATAGTTGCATTACTGACAGCTCCAAGAATAGGGTCCTGCCTATGCTTCAGGTAAGGCCTCTATGGAGGCCAGGGGCACATGTTGGGCTCCTTGCTTTGTTTAAGGCCCTAAGAGAACCTGTAACTTAGTATTCTGTAGATGTTGTAATCATTGAAGCAGTTATATTAACTGATTCAATAGTCTGGTGTTGCTTTCCATAAAAATCTTATAGTTTCTCACAACTGCATCAAAAGAAATAGGTATCTTGAGAGTTCATGACTGCCTATTTTAATATGATCCTTTCATTTTTAGTGTTTTCTTTTAAAAAACTGCATTATTTTACAAACCTACATACAAATGTATGTTTTAAACAGGCAACACAGTTTAACAAATAATGAAAGTGAAATTGTGGAGCCGGAGTGTTGAAATTAATGGGTAGCATATTTGCCTAACATGCACGACGTCTTGTGTGTGAGCCTAGGCACTCCATAAACAGTTGTGCCAGCCTGCACTCCTACCATTACATGGTGCGTGCGAGAACATTTCAAGTTTAATGTCATACTAGGCTACATGGGGCATGGAGGATTAAAGCAGCCTAGCCTGAGAAACTCCATCAAATTAAAAAAAAAAAAAGGTGTTCAAGAAGTAGAAAGTAATTTAATAGTATTGAAGTGTTCTGTTGTTCCTGTGTTTAGCAGTAAGTATGCACTTATTACTAAGAGTATAAATGGAAATCTATTAGACTGTGTTAGGTACTGTAAGGAGCAGTTGCAAACCCATCTGTAGGAATAGAGAACCCAGTAAGGCCTGCTAGTAGAGAACATTCTTTTCCTGCTTGATTTGGAGGATCTCTTCTTTTTCAACAACAGCAAGGTATGCGATGTAACTGCTGAGCAGAAATACACACATGAATACAAAGCCATCTGGAGAAATCATGGAGCATATGGAGTTTCTGGGAAATGAAGCATTTTTCTTTGACCCACCAGGACTCAGAAAGCTACAACAGGAGGACCATGAGTTCCATGTTAGACTCAGGCATAGATATACTATGGGGTTAGTTCCAGCTAGGCCTGGATTTACAAGGAGATTCTTCTAAAAATAAAGAGGAAGAAAGAGAAAAGGCAAACAAAAATATCTCACACGAACACCATACAGTGTGAAAATCACTAAAAGAACCAAGAGTAAAAATTTCATAGAATCTCTGACAAAAATTTGACCAGGGTCCATGCCCTTCTCTCCTCTTGTTGTATTTCTTTGCAGGACTTTGTCGTACGAAGTGCCCTTGCTCTGAGGCATGCTAAGCACTGCAGGCTGTTATGCTTCCCTTGGAACAGAACTGTTCAGTATACTACAACTGAGGCCATAAAGGCACCAGGCTCAGTGCAGGGACAGCACAGGAAAGCCTGCTAAGTCTGGAGAGCAGCAGGACACAAGGGTCCCAAAGACTGCACTCACAAGTTATTTGGTTGCTCTGTTCTGTCCATGATGGAGGCACATCCCCATTCTCTGATGTGGCTATGTCCAGGTGGCTTTTGGTCCACTCTGGGAGCCTTGTTATCTCCATTCTGATTCGAAAGTACCCCATTGACTGAGACTAAGGCCTATGTGTCTGAAGTCCAGGAACAGGAAGTAGAGGGGCGGGATTTACACTGCTAAGCTAGCAGTATGAATCTACTAGCTGGTGTCTTAGGGTAGGAAGGCTCCTCACTCTCCAAATTCTGGTGACAAAACACTACAGTCTGTATGTCTGTTGGGAACTGAGACGTCAAAGGAGCAGAAATAAGCACCCACAGTTATTGTACTAGTCTGTTATCGCCATCTTCCTTCTGCCATAGCTAAGAATCATGGGAAGAAAGCTTCGTTGTGCAGCGATTGTTCAGAAACTGCACCCGCATGATGGCAGTAGATCTCCAGGAATGATCCTGTGAGTGCTTGTCTCCCACCCTTCCTGTCTGAAAAAAAACCGCTAACCATAGACAAAAGGACCAGAGAAGATGGCTGCCCTGAGTTTTGCCTTTCAGTACTTTGAACAGTGATTTTGGTGTGTGTCTTGTTTACTACATTTAGCGACATGGAGATGAGAATTTAGTGTCTAAGTCTTACCCGCAGTCCCTGTTTCTATTTGGACCTGAGGAGAAGTCAGGGGAGCCCAATCTGAGCCCTAACTGTAACCCATATCATAGAACTCTCTCCCTTCTGTTATGAAAGACATTTCCCTTTTCATTCATTTTCACTCTATCCAGATGCCAGCGTTATTTAAAGTTTTGGTAGTATTGATTTTTGTAGTTTTTACACAATAAGTATCTGGTATGAGCTTTAGTAGCAAATAAATATGAATTTCCAAGACAGTATCTGAGAGTAGGTGAAGTCAGGGAAGCCCAAATAAGCATGCACAGTGGTTCCAGTTTTCAGTAACCACCATCTTGCGCCCTGACTAAGAATCATGGGAGGATACTTAGTGGCGCTGTGATTTTTTTGAAACTGCACCCGCATGATGGCAGTAGAGCTCCAGGAATGATCCTGTGAGTGCTTGTCTCCCGCCCTTTCTGTCTGAAAAAAACCGCTAACCATAGACCAAGGGACCAGAGAAGATGGCTGCCCTGAGTTTTGCCTTTCTTTCAGTACTTTGAACAGTGATTTTGGTGTGTGTCTTGTTTACTACATTTAGCGACATGTAGATGAGAATTTAGTGTCTAATTCTTACCCGCAGTCCCTGTTTCTATTTGGACCTGAGGAGAAGTCAGGGGAGCCCGAGTACAATAATCCAGTTGTCAGTAACCACCATCTTGTGCCATGACTAAGAATCATGGGAGGAGACTCAGGGCGCTATGATTTTTTTTGAAACTGCATCCTCATGATGGCAGTAGAGCTCCAGGAATGATCCTGTGAGTGCTTGTCTCCCGCCTTTCCTGTCTGAAAAAAACCGCTAACCATAGACAAAGGGACCAGAGAAGATGGCTGCCCTGAGTTTTGCCTGGCTTTGAGTATTCTGAAAAGTTATTTTAATTTTTGTCTTATTTTGTATTTGAATCCAATCTCAGGACTAACAGTAGTCGAGGTCATAGTACTCTTTCCCTTCTGTTATTTCCCATTTCCTTTCTTTTGAGTTTGTATTTTTACCCTTTGTAGATACTTACAGTGTTCTTAAAATTTTGGTTCCATTAATTTGTTGTAGGTTTGACACAATAAAGTTATGCTGGAAGATTTAGAAGCAAAGGATTCTGTTATCCAATTCAGTGCAATGGAACTAGCTGAGGGTTTACTGTTTGCAGCATAGTATGTCCTAGGCCCCTGGCTAATGCATAGGTAGTTAGTGCTACTGGGAATTCCTTAATCCTTAATGTTGTCAGAAACATCAATGACAGTAAATCTGACTTATGAGGATAGAATTTTAGAAACTAATTTTTAATAATAACATGGTAGGGCTTGTGGGTTGCACAGGCCTGATGGGGTGACACATGCCTAGGGAGGAATAGGTAGGTGGATCTCTGAGTCCTAGGCCAGCATGGTCTACAGAGTTCCAAGATGCCCAGAGTTACACAGAGAAACCCTGTCTCGGGAAAACAAAGCAACAACAGCACAAAACGGAGATCTGTTTACTTTTCTGTAATTATTTTAATAGTCACTTTGCTGAATTTTTTGTGTATGCGGCAATCTCTTCTCTTATGTTTTTTTTTGAGGTAGGGTTCCTCTGTGTAAGAGTCTCAGCTATTTTGGGATTCACTTTGTAGATAAGGTTGGCTTCAAACTTACAGAAATCTGCCTGCCCCTGCCTCCCATGTGCTAGGATTAAAGGACTACATGGCCATTGATGGATATCAAATCCAATCTTGAAACGAAAAAATTTAACTATAAACATGAAATACGTTTTCAGCGATTTGCTATTACCTACGTACTACATATTCTACAACTTATAAGAGAAAAATTGCCCTGTCTAAATCCTGCTCCTAGTATCTATATTGCATTCATATGTAATAATAAACTATATTTTATTTATTTATTGTGTATAAACTCTTCTGCCTGCATGCCAGCGGACGGCACCAGATCTCATTCAAGGTGGTTGTGAGCTACCATGTGGTTGCTGGGAATTGAACTCAGGACCTCTAGAAGAACAGTCAGTGTTCTTAACCTCTGAGCCATCTCTCCAGCCCTAAACTATACATTTTTATATCTCCAAATTGAGGTAGTTTTTTACTATAATATTTCACTAGAAAAGAATCATCTAAAGAATAGTAATACAATAAATACATACAATAAATGAACTGGAGTGTGACAAGACAACAGAACAAGAAAAGGAGTCAAAGAAAAACTTAGGACGCAGACACACATTTGCACACACAGAAATCCCATAAAACCCCAAACCCAAAGCAATTCTATATATTCAGAAAAGAATCTGTAAGGTTTTGTTTTTGTTTTGTACATTCCCTGACATAATTATGAGACAGAGAACCTCCGAAGGTATCATTAAGTTTGTTTTATGTTGGCCATGGGGCCTGGCTGGCGGGGAATGTACTTCTGTGTATATGTTTTACCTGGTCTTCAGAGTGGTTTGTTTTCCCAGTGTGACCCCCTTGAAGAAAACTAACTTTGCATGTGAAAGTGGAGGACACTGGGAAATAGTTTGGGGTTAGGTTTGTTGCTGTGCCTCAACTTCTCCTTTTAGCTCCAGGAGCCCATCTGGAGCAGACCCATGAAGGCCTTGTGCTCACTGGGGTCTCTGAGCTGACACATGCTGTAGTCCTGTTGTGTCCAGAAGGCTTAATGGTTTCTTCAGTCCCCTCTGGCTCTCACACCCATTCAGCCATCTTTTCTGAGAGGCCCCTATGCCCTGAGGGGAGGGATTTCATGGGGACACTTTCTTTCTTTCTTTCTTTCTTTCTTTCTTTCTTTCTTTCTTTCTTTCTTTCTTTCTTTCTTTCTTTCTTTCTTTCCTCTCTTTCTTCCATATTGGCTTGCTGTGGCTCTCTGTATTTCCTCCCAACTGGTGCAGGAAGAATCTTCCCCGATGATGACCCTACAAATCTGTAAGTGTAACACGATGGTCTCAGGAGTCATTTTATTGCTGTTTCCTTGGCAGAGCACAGTGTTTTCTTTCCCTAGGTCCCTGGCCTATGCAGTCTCTGGTTATTGGCTACCCAAGCAGTATTGGCTATGGGCTCCATCTCATGCAGTGGGCCTTACCTCAAAGCAGATGCTGGTAGTCTACTCACACAATCTTTGTGCCGCTATTGCACTGTTACAAGCCACTCGAGATTTAAGATGGGTTTTTACCTTTTTCCTTCCAGTACCATGAATATTAGTCCTTAGGAGTTGGCATCAGATTAACTTCCCCTTGTTCAATGAATTATGTAACTGTTTTCCTGTTGGGGTACCCCGAATTGAGGAGGGGTCCCCAAGCCAGATTCGTCACCCCAAGAATCAAGAGTCCACGTGCCAATTGATGCAACACGCAAGAGGTTTTAATTAGGCATCTGCAGATGGGCCTCTTTGTCAGCTTTTAGTCCGATTGGCCCCGAGGTTCAGTTACAATCAGCTTTTAAAGACAAAAACCACAAGCCTTTGGGAGGGGTCCTTATCTCGTGACGGGGGAAGGGGGTACATGACTACTGTCCAGGGGAAGTAGATGTCCTTCATATTGTAAATTCCTCAAACCTTGGCATGAGTTAATTATCTCTCCCTAAGTAAATAGTGTTATCTCCTTGTTTCCCACTAGTCTAGTTTGCCCTGGTCAGTTCTTCACAGACGGCAGCCCATAATTGGCCTTTTGTGGATTACAGACCTTCTGCAATTAAGGTCGCTAAACCATACATTCCATTCTGTGGTATGGCCGGTTCCTGGGATGGGGTCCTTTGTTCACTTCCCAAGTTCTCTAGTGGGGTGCCCTCCCTGTTTAAGCTTATATTTTATTTCTATAAATTCGGGGTCTTTCATTCCTTAGCAATAGGGCTTTACTGTTAGTTTGTGGACAGTCACCAATCCCTTTGGTAATAGCCTGGATTGTTTGGGGGACCACATGGGACTCCTGTGGCCAAAAACTCCGACAAAACCTTTTCCCAATACTGGAGGGTTCATTTGGTGATGAGAGATGTCCACTTGGGTCTCAGTCTTCCCCATTACTTTGTGATTTCACTTACATTGCTTTCATATATATATATATATATATATATATATATGTAGATTTGGATTTTAGTTTTGTATAGACTGGTAGATATATCATTTGCATTATTCCAAATTTAGCCGTAGAATTTGAACAGAATCATTTTCTTGCTTCTTAATAAAGCATAAAGTTTCTATAGGTGTATGGATTTGTGTCTGGGTCTTCAGTTCGATTCCATAGCTCCATTTGTTTGGTTCATACTGCTTGATCAGTCTTTCTGTGGTGACAGTGCCAGGACAGGTGCTCTTTATAGTTGAGGAGTGTTTTAACCCCCCACCCCCTACACACACACCCCAGGTCAGGGTCTCTGTAACAGCTCTGGCTGTCCTGGAACTTGCTCTGCAGACCAGGTTGGCCTTGAACTCACCGAGACCCACCTGCCTTTTGCTCTTGAGTGATGGGCTTAACGGTGCATGCTACCACAGCCTGACGTATGTGAGTGTGTGTGTGTGTGTGTGTGTGTGTGTGTGTGTGATTGTCCTTTCAAGGTATATGAAGAACTGTGTTGGAATTTTGATGGAGATTGCATCTATATTCTGCTTTCCATAAGATGGCCATTTCCTCTATATTAAACCTGATCCATGAACATATGAGATGTGATTGAATGGTGCCTTTTCTTCTACCTAGAAATGGAGCCCAAGATGCGACCTGCAGAGACATTCCTGTACCAGGAGTGAGGTCTGGAGGTGGAGCCCTGCCTGGAGAAGAAGAAACTGCAGGCTCTGTCATCATCTGTCCAGGGACTTCCTCAAATAAGATGATGCCCGAGGAAGGTGGGTGCCTCGGGTCTCCCCCTTCTTTGTCTTCCCCTCTTGCTTAGGTCATAATTTCCTTGTGCTTTCCTTGTTGCGTTATTTGCATTTTTGTCGTTGTTGCTTTGATGATGGATTCCGATGGAGGAGCAGATCCACTAGTGGCATTCAGATAAATTAAAATGGAGGCATTCAGATAAATTAAAATGGAGGCTACACTCTCAGTAAATCCCCTTTCCTCCCTTTGCTGGAAGAAGGCATGGCTGCCACAGTTGCTGCACAGTTGCAGACTGGAAAGGCGGGAGGAGAGAGAGACATCTCACTGGTGCCTTCATAGCTGTGGGACTACACTGCCATCATGCGGAACAGGATTCATGCACACCTTGCACATGCAGAGGCTGCTTGCCCAGAGCTCCTTCCAGCGATTTTGGAAGGTGACGGCCGGTCAGAGGCTTTCTTAAATGGCTGAGGTGGGCGCCTCCTACCAGTTTCTGTTACATTTTTATGTATTTTTAAACCGGCATAAAGAGACCTGTTAGAGCTTTACTGTAGATGCTGTTGGCTGAGGACTCAGTAGTAAGTACACAGCTGTGCTGCAGTACAGAAACAGGAAGTGGAGGGGCGGGGCTTTGCAGTACTAGGCTTGCAGTATGCCCTGATGTCCTAGTACAGGAGGCGCCTCACTCTCCAGGTTCTGGTGAGAAAACTCTACAGTCTGTATTTCTCTGGGGGCCTTAGAAGTCAAGGAAGACCATGTAGGCATCCACAGTTATTGTAGTTGTCTATAATCGCCATCTTCCCCAACAGCTAAGAATCATGGGAGGAGACTCAGTGGCGCTATGATTTTTTTGAAACTGCATCCGCATGATGGCAGGAGAGCTCCAGGAATGATCCTGTGAGTGCTTGTCTCCTGCCCTTCCTGTCTGAAAAAAACCGCTAACCATAGACAAAAGAACCAGAGAAGATGGCTGCCCTGTGTTTTGCCTTTCTTTCAGTACTTTGAACAGTGATTTTGGTGTGTCTTGTTTACTACATTTAGCGACATGTAGATCTGAATTTAGTGTCAGTCTTACCTGCACTCCCATGCTCTATTTGGACCTGAGCAGAAGTCAGGGAAGCCCGAGTAAGCACCCACAATTGTCTAGTTGTCAGTAACCGCCATCATGGGGCATAGCTAAGAATCATGGGAAGGAGACTCAGTGGTGCTGTGATTTTTTTGAAACTGCATCCGCATGATGGCAGTAGAGCTCCAGGAATGATCCTGTGAGTGCTTGTCTCCCGCCCTTCCTGTCTGAAAAAAACCGCTAACCATAGACAAAGGAACCAGAGAAGATGGCTGCCCTGAAGCAAAGAAGATGGCCACCGAATTTTGCCCTTCTCTGAGTTTTAGTGTATTTGGTGTATGTCTTGTTTTCTACGTTTAGCCTCATGGAGATGTAAATTTAGTGGAGGTATTAGGACTGTTTTCTTTCTGTTGTAGAGAATATTTCCCATTTCTTTGTTACTCTGTCTAGCTGCCTAGTGTTATTTAAGTTTTTGATTTTTTTTTTTGCAATTTTTATACAGTAACGATATGCTCTGAGATACAGAAGCAAAGCAATATGAAGTTAATAAATGCAGGTGAATTGCTACTGCTGAGGGTTGCAATGCTTGGCTTACATGCTATAGGCCCTGGTTTTAAGCCTCAATATATACAAGGAGCTGCTAGTGGCGCTTGCTTTTGGTAATGGTATTTACAATAACGTTTCCAGCTGCTGTTCATGGATGGGAATACTGGAAAGATGATTATAGAAGCTGCCTTTCAGTGTTTCTATGGACTCTGTCTGCAATGTCAGGACTCACACGGCTGGAAGATGCTGATAGTGCTGAGAATGAGGACAATTTGGACTACCCATATGGTGAGTTCTATGATGAGTTTTAAAATATTCTTAACTCTAGAATATGCCTCAGTGTTTTTCTGACCTCATGGTATTAAGCAATGTGTATTTAGTTAATGGATCATAAGAAATTTATTTTTTAAATATATGCGGATAAGTTTATTATTTCTTCATTTACATTTCTGTAATAAGTTCCGAGAAAGTTATAAAATGAGTCTATAATATTAATTCAATAAAATAAAATGTATTAATGTACACACACTATACATAATACACATACAATATAATCTGACAATCATATAATATGTTAATTGGCTGGTTTTGTGTGTCAACTTGACCCAAGCTAGAGTCATCAGAGGAGGGAATGCCTCCTTGAGATCGAGCTGTCAGACATTTTCTCATTTAGTGACTAATGGGGGAGCGGCCAACCCATAGGTGATGCCATCCCTGGGCTGTTGGTCATGAGTTCTATAAAGCAGGCTGAGCAAGCCATGGGAAGCAAGCCAGTAAGCAGCTCCCCTCCATGGCCTCTGCATCAGCTCCTGCCTCCATGACCCTGCCCTGTTTGAGTTCCTGTCCTGACTTCCATGTAAAGGTGCAACATAAAGATAGACAATGTATGACTATTTTGGGCACTAAACACAGCCTGAGATAAATTATAATTAGGCCCTGGACCTGCAACATTTCAACTTTACATCACTGTAGTTCTTATGAGTCAACCAGCTTTTGTAGGCACAACTTCGGTTCACAAGTTCTTGCTCACATCATGTAAACCCTGTCTCCTTAAAGCTTTGCAAACTATAGTTATGAGCTTTAAAACCTTAGAAGCTATTAACTTACATGCCCTAGATGCTAGCCCTGTCTTATGAAGGAAAATTGCTTAAAAGAGGCTGTAGTAGTCCATGTTTGCAGAGGCTGATGGACCGACTAGAAGTTCAGTACTGTGGAGAAACTGGAATTGTGTAGATTCGAGGCTAATCACGCTATCATGGGCTAGTCTCAGTCTTATGGGAAAGTCATTCTTTGCCTTACTTTGTAATCAAACTAATAACTCTCTGGTGTACTCACCAATGTATTTCATACTTGCCTTGATTTTATGATTTTGTTCTGTGAAACTGCTTCCACATTGGAACATAAGGGTTTGGAGTAAACTCACTCTATGTTCCCAAGCCATGGTCACTCTCTCTTTTTCTCTTTAAGATGGGGGCTGTGTCAACATAAAATCCACAATGTTGACACAGCCCCCATCTTAAATCCTCAATATCAAACCTGTTATCTCAGCACTGTGGAGGTTAAAACAGGAGGACCATTGTAAGTTTGAGGCTCCCGTGAACTACATAGGGAGAGCCTGTGTCAAATTACATGACTAAGTCCTAATGCTTGCCTGTTAACATAACCAAGCAGATGCTTGGCTCCAGTATCTCTCAGTTCATACCTGTTACAGGGTCCTCCTTGCTGGCATGCCCTGCCACCCCCTACCCTGAACCCTTCAGCCCAGGGGCTGGGATGCCTGTCCCCCAGCTGCTCTTGCCTATATAAACCAGACATTTTGGTCACATAGTTCATTTTCATCTCCTGGCTCTCTTGTCCTTTTATGCCCCATATCCCCTTCATGTTCTGTTGGCTGCCTATGTCCAGTCTGGACTTTTCCAGATGCCTCTGGCTATGCTCTCCCTCCTATCTACAGTAAACCTTCCCCATCATACCTAGGATCAATCATATCCTCCTTTTATTTCTTCTTTTATAATCACCAGTGTTCTTAGCAAATGAGTAGCTACAGACATTTATTACATCTTTGTCTTTGAACTATCTGTCTCGGGGCATCAAGCAACTTGCAAACAAATACCAATAATGGACAAGGGCGTGGGTGAACTATAGGACAGTATTTAACACATTATCTTATAGGTAACATTAGCTAGAGTGTTTTTATTGTGACATTAGATATTGCAACTTCATTTTTATGCTGAAATCTAATTGTACCATTTAAATGTGTAATTAAATAAATGTATTATTTATGTATTCATCATAACCTGTCTTATGCCTGGATAAATTCTCTCAATTTACTTGGTGGTATTTGTCCTAGGTGAAGGGAAAAGTGTGTGTATATGTATACATATAATACATTTATCTGCTTCAGAAGAAAAAAGGCTGGGTGTGTATTTCTGGTGGAGTACTTGATTGCTTTGCTAGAGACACTGGGCTCAATCCTCAGTATCAAAAAGGGAATAAACACACATAAATCAAGGGTTGGTGATATGACTCAGTGGTAAAACTTGAATGGAAAGACTGTTTCTCTAAATTAATTAAGGGCCTGGGTAAATGTTCAAACCTCAGTACTACCAATGGCTTGGTATGGCAGTGGGCACATGACAACCAGAAGTCACTGTACTTAAATACATACAGACATAAAGGAACAAGTATAAGGAGGCACTGTACTTAAATACATCCGGCCTTAAAGAACAAGTAAAAGCAATTGGATGTGTGATTTTTTACTAGAGATGTCCCGAGGGTTTAAGTGCTTTCCTTGTTTTTCCTTCATTTACTGGATAAATAGCACTGAGTAAATTACACCAGAATGCACACCATGCAGAGAGGATTTATCTAGGCAAAAGACAGGGGTTCTGTTGAGGTGGTTTTCGGTATTTGGCCTTAATTGGGAGAAACGAAAGTAAAATGGCGGCCTTGTAAACTAGATCCTAACTCTGGACAAAATGGAGGCAAACATTTCTTTCTCCCTCTTGTTTTTTTTTTTTTTTTCAGACACAAGGGGTGGGAGAAGAGGAGGCAAGATGGCGCTGCTGAGCTTCTGTAGGGCACTACTGCCCCGAAGAGGAATGAGTCTTAACAGATCAGTTCCTTTCCCATAAGCCCCAGCAATGGGCCACCAAACTGAAGCCCATTGTCTTCTAAGGCAGGAAGAGACACCAGGAAACAGGTATACCCTGGAAACTGGTGTAACTCCAAAGAACATGAACATCGAGGATCGTGAACTGTCCTCCAGCGGCTTGGGATACTGAAACTGTGTTTTACTCAGTTTAGACTTGAAACAGGAAACAACCCAAAGACAAATGCAAACTCTCCACAGTCAAGATGGCTCCTGGGCTATGGAGTGAGACTTGTCAATGAACTTAGGCAGTCCTGTGGGGTAGAGGCATGGTGCGGGAGGAAGGGAGTGGGGGTGGGGACAGCAGAGGATGGGCGTGCTTTGTATTATGGCTCTTGTCCCTCCAGTTAACAGAACTTCATGGAACATCAATGCACTGCAATTGTGGAACCCTCAGGGCAGCAATGTAAGACTAGTAAGACAAGCTGGTTGCAGGTGACAAAGTGTGGTTAGAAAAGGCCTAAGGTGTACCCTATTGCCTGTATCTGAAAGCATAATGATTTCACGAGAAAGCTCACATGTTGCTTCAAGGGAACTGAGCAGTAGACAAAGCCCCCCCCCCCGGCCCCCAAGGAACATGCATTTATCTCCAGGAGGACATCTTTGGTCTTTCCAAACTTGAGAATTCCAGTTGGTGGTCCTAATGCTTTCCTGTATCAGTATTTTTGTTCAAGGCTCTTCTTTTCAGGCCCCTCTCCCTTCATGGTCTAAACTGAAGCATCATTAGTGTCAGGCCTCTCCTAAATCCTTGGGGAATGACATGTTGGCCAAATGTGGAGCCCAATCATCTTCTAAGACCTTGAAGGCCAGTCCTTCCTTCAGGTGTCAGTACAGATCCAGACCATCCCTGAATCTGCATATTGAACACTCTTCCCTTCCTGTTTGGAAAAACATGGTCAAGAAAAGGAAGCCTGAACATGTAGTTACAGTTCATTTTGGCCTTGTTGGTAGGAATTACTTTAGGCAGAGTTATCAGTTAACTAGTGTGCTAGAGGATTGTTTTGTCTCCAACATAGGATTGATTTGGTGAAAAAAGGCAGAATGGGGGAAAGTGCTTAAAGCCCAGAGAACCTTTGTTTTTTGGTTTTCTTTTGAGACACAAAATCTAACTGTGTAACCCTGAGTAGCATCACCTCAGCCCCAGGCTTGGGGTAGTTTGTCAGTGTTTTAACACATCTCTAGCAGAAACCCCACAAATCCACATGTTCCTTTAATTACTGTTTGATACCAATATTCTTTCAGTATCTCCTGTCAAACCCAGTTTACCTGTGAGGAACTTTCCCTCACATCTGCATCTAGAAGAAGCATAGACCTTGTTCAACTCTCCAGACAATTGGGCATACCTGAGACTGTCCCAAACACACCTTCTCATCTTGTACGGCTTCTAGAACTGACCCGTGCTCGCTGTTTCTGCACTGTTGCAATAACTTAGCCATTGGGCTTAGCACAGAGACTTTAGTTAAAAGCCTGCTAACTCATGCTCCAAGGGGCAGAGCTGGAAAGAAGTGCCCATGTGAGCCCCAATTTGTCTTTTCCTGTGTTTTTGGCATCCTTGAAGTGAGAGGAACTGAGGCCCTCCATTGGGCTCTGTACACCCATTTTCCACACCAAGGTATAATTGGCATCTAGGCCTCTCTTAGGACATTGAGGAGGAGGCATGGGGGTCCTGATGTTAATTTTTTCAGGTTGTGTGCCTCCAGTTGCAGGCACATACTGTGAGGACAGACTTTCAAGTGACTGTTCACTGTTAAATAGGTTTGGCTGGAGTTTGACATTAGAAATTTTAATCTTACATCTATTAGCGCTATCCTCATCTTTACCATGCTTCATATAATCTACTTAGACCTGTGGTGATTTCAGTCTTCCCCTGAACATTTTTGTTTTTACTTTTACACAGGCTTTTTTTTTTGTTCTGTCTTCTGGTGCTCTGCCTAGGGCTTGTAATGCTGAGCTGTTAGAGAAAGTCACGCTTGCTCCTTGTAGGAGGGAATCATTCCCCTCCTTGGAGATCTGTAATTTCCCCTTTCCTTGACTCCCATTTTAAAGCTATCTATTTATATTTTATGACTGCGCATGTTTCATCTGTCTGCCTTCAGAAGCCAGTGTCAGATCCCTGAGTCTGGAGGTATACATAGTTATGAACTACCATGTGGGTGCTGGGAATCAAATCTCCTGGAGGCGCAGCCAATCCAATTCTCTTCACCACTAAGCCATCTCTACACCCCCCATTTCCCCAACTCCTCTTTTCCGTTGACCTCTTATTTCCAAGCTCCAGTGGAGGACTTTCTCATTATACTTGGCTAGTATACAAATGCATTCACTGATGAACTTTTGATGTCTCTTAGATAGATCCACTGAAAAGGTACCAAACCACCGCACCTAAAGCCCCAAAAATGATGTCAAAATCCTTTACCTGCCAATTAGAGTTATCCCATACAAAGAGAATGGTGAGACAGGAAATTGGAATTGGCTAGGTAATTTAGGGACAAGGACCATGAAAGGAACAGTTCCAGGAATGTCTTTGGTTTCCCAGGCAGAAATGTTTTATGTTGCCTCCTCCTACAAGAGCACCTACGCCTGGTGGAGAATACATGAAAGGGGGAGACAATGGTCCCTTATGGTGAGTGGCTTTAGAATTGGATCCCTAGATTTTCATGAAAAAAAAAAAAGGGTTGCATCAATTTCCCAATCTGGGCCTTCTCCTAAATGATATTAGAATTACCTCTTCAGAATGAACGATGTTATATTCCTCAGTGTGAGCATTGGTCTAGCTGGGCCACTCAGTTGTCTGATGGAGAGCAGCACTTAGGAAGGCTGATTTAGCCAGGCGTGGTGGAGCACGCCTTTAATCCCAGCACTCAGGAGGCAGAGGCAGGCGGATCTCTGTTAGTTTGAGGCCAGCCTGGTCTACAAAGTGAGTTCCAGCCTCCAAAGCCACAGAGAAACCCTGTCTCGGAAAAAAAAAGGAAGGCTGATTTATCAAATACCATGGTAAAGGGAGAGGAGTGCTTTATTTAGGTAGTGTGCGTTTCCTTCCTAGGAAGGCCACACGTGGTATAGTAGCTTTTGGAACCACACCTATCACCTGTCATTCGGCTCTGGACAGGGTCTGCCTGCATGATTCAGAAAAGCGCTCTCACTATCTGTCCTCTTATTCTCCCTTGTACATGGGTGTTTGTCCAACACATGGTGCCTTATAAGTAGCATGGCATGGCTTTTCTCTTTTTTCTCTATTCTCTATTTCAACTTCCTTCCCTGGGCAGCTGAGAGATTTATACCTTGACCATCCTGGGGACTTTTAAACTGATAAAATTGCTCAGGTCAAATGTCCTTCTGAGTCATTTCCTCAATTATCTTATTAATGAGACTAAGAACCTTAAGTGGGTATCCAAAGTTTCCCATAACAGAAAGACAACCACAGAACAGTTCAAAAGTCAATATCTCATGTTTGTATGTGTTTGTGTTCAGAGCGTAGAACTGTGGCCTCTGCATCAGCTCCTGCTTCCAGCTTCCTGCCCTGACTTCTTTTAAGGATGGAGTATGATGTAGAAGTTTAAGCCAAATAAAATAAGCTCTCTTCCTTCCTTGCTTTAGGTCATGGCATTTCTTCCCAGCAACAGAACCTCTTAAGACACTGACATGGTCTGAATCCTAGACCAACACTATTTAATGTGCTATTGAGAATACCCTGCATCTTCTTCACACAATCCCAATAAGTACAATTTAAAATTCTAAAAATTAAGGGGTCTGGAGAGATGGCTCAGTGGTTAGAGCCCTGGCTGCTCTTCCATAGGTTCAGAGTTCAATTCCCAGCGACCACATACATGGTGGCTCACAACCATCTGTAATGAAATCTGGTGGCCTCTTCTGGCCTGCAGACAGAACACTGTATACATAATAAATAAATTTTTAAAATTTTAAAGAAAAAAATGTGAAAGAAGAAATAGAAACGGGTTTTTGGATTACATGATGCTTTCCAGGCTTCAAGCCCCGCCTCCTTTCCAGTTTTCACTGAACATGTCCTATGAACAAAGCTGACTGCTTTGGAAAACAAATGGATAGGCTAGAAGAGTAGAGAATCACACTTGAATGTGAAGACCCCTATACAATTCACTTCCGGAAAGAAGAGAACTGACTTATGCTGAATTTAGGCCTTGTTTCCGTCCAGGGGGTGGGGTGGGGACTAAATAAGTAAATACTGTTGAACTCAGTTATTGGAGTAAACTCAAAGCAGCCACATTTCCTGGTGCCTTTGTCTCTGAGTGCCACTCCCCTGCCACCTCCCACATGAAAGGCTGAAGACAAGAGTTCTCAATGCACACATTTCTGGAACACTACTGCCATCATGAGGAATGAACTTCAAAACTCCTGCCACCCACAGAAATCTCTGGGGCCTTGGGTAGTAGATCAGTGTTCACCATGGCATACGAATGGACTTTGGGAGCCCATTTCACATGGAGGGATGCTCTCTCAGTCTGGACACATGGGCCTAGGTCCTGCCCTGGATGAAATGACAGACTCTGGAGATCCCCCAAGGAGGGACTCACCCTCCCTGGGGAGTGATGTGGGGATGGGGTGGGGGACTGGTGGAGGGACAAGGGAGGAGAGGTGGGAGAGGGAGCTGGGATTGATATGTGAAGCATTCGTGTTTCTAATTTAAATAAAAACATTGAGGAAAAAAACCTCCTGGCACCATTACGCTTCTTTCCCATGATTCCGAGCAACAGCAGAGGAACTACTGGAGCTTCTTACCTGGGCATTCTTGACTTCTCCTAAGGCCATACGAGATGTGCAGACTGTTGTTTCTGGTTTCAGACCTAGAGAGTGAGGTATGCAGAGTGGATGGGCTATTGCAGGGTCATAGTGGCACAGGAAGTTGTATGTCAGGACCCGCAGTCTTCCCACTGTGAACAAGCCCAGAGGAGCCCTGTTAAACATTCTGGGATCCCTGCTTCCGTTCCAGTCCCTGGGGAATAAAGGGCTTCCCTCTGGTTGCCACTATGCTAAGTGCTTTAATCCGCCCCTGTCCTCTGAGTGCACTGCATAGGGCTGCTGCAAAAGCAATGAAGTACGTTTGCTAACGTTGGAATTAGTAGGCATCCCATGAAGCAGTTCATTGAGAACACAGACCTAGAGCAGACAAACAGCTACAAGAAGAGAGGCCATAGAGCTTGTTCTTCATCTTTCCGTAACAAATTAAAAACTTCAATTTGTGGCTTTTGTTTTACTTGGGGTATACATGTGTGTCAGGGGGATGTGTGTGTGTGTGTGTGTGTGTGTGTGTGTGTGGCTATGTGCAGGTGAGTACAGGTGGCCATAGAAGCCAGAAGACGGCATTGGAACCTCTGAAGCTGTAGTCACAGGCAGTTGTGAGTTGCTGTATATGGGTGCGGAGAACTGAACTTGGGCTCAGGTCCTCTCAAAGATCAGTACACACTCTTAATGGCTCTCCAGTCCACCCCCCTTTGAAGCTCTGCCTTCCTTTGACTCCTGCTATTAGAAGGATAGTCAACACTATCCTGTCATTTCCTGTCCCTGAAGTCAGGAGAGCTGTGTCCTTGGTCTGGCCCCTGGATCACTAGCTGTACCATCAAGACACTGTGATGGTACTGGACTCCAGTTTCTCGGCAGAGGGAAGAGTGGTGTGGCCAGGCTTGGTTCTGGGCCCATTTGACCCCATCCAGATCCTGCCTTCCCCGAAGCTGCTAGGGTCAGCAGGAAGAAAACTCTTGGCTGAGGAAATTGTTATTATTATTATTATTACATCCTACCGCAGCTGTTGGTATTGTTGTTGTTATTATATCACACATATCCAGACCGCAGCTTTCCCTCCCCTCCCTCCTATCTACTCCTTCCGCTCCATTTCCCTTCAGAAAAGAGCAGGTCTCCTAGGGATATCAACTGACCATGGCATAACAAGTTGCAATAAGACAAGGCACAAGGAATTCATGAAACTATCTCGATACAATGGCTGTGTTGCCTTAGAAAAGCCAAGGGATTTTGTGCACTGGTGCGGTGTTTCTGCTCTTTCCTATTCGAAATCAAAATGCCGCTGGCAGCTACCCAGACTCCGGTAACTGGCTACCTTGTCTTTTTGCTCCTACTCTTCGAGTTTAGCTTTTGTTTCTGTTTGATAGTAATGGCAGATGTCCTGGACAAAGGCCAGCATTACTCTGGGACCACAGGAAAAGGAAAAAAAAAACCCAAAGCAAGTGAGCTGTAAGGCACTCACCTCCATCAGGCGCCATACTCTTTTAAAGAACTCACTAGCCTTATGGGTAGCTCTTCCGTTTGTCCCCTTCAGCCAACAGCATTCTCTCTGCAGAGCTTCCTCGTGATACTTTGCTGTCTTCTGAACGCAGGCCTAGAAAGGAAAAGAAAGTGCTGACACCTCAGGGCCTGGAGAACAGTGAGGCACACCAGCCACTCGATTCTCATGCAGTTTGTTAGTTCCCTGGACATCCTATTCAATGGTTGACTTTGACAGTAGACCATGTATGCCTGGGGGGGAAGCTGACTTCCAAGGTAACTCTCTGAATGCTGAAAGCTATACAATGCCCTACTTTGAGTTGCCCATGTATTGGGGAAAGCACAAAATTTTAACTTACGGCTGCATAATTTAACATTGGAACACAAGTATTTTCTTCTATTAGTATATCTCTGACTGCTTCCTATAGCTTTTGCTTAGGACTTTGTTACTGTTTCTCTTTGGAACTTAAGACTATTCTGCAAACTAGCAATGTGCTGATCCAGAGGAAAGAACATCCAAGAAACTTTATATGAAATGTGGTAACACTTTGCGTATTTGCTCTCACTCTTGGATGGCCTTAACACAGCTCTTTGTAGACAGTGAAGCACCACAGGAAATTTTGTATTTAACTTGGACTATTTTTTTTTGGTTTTTCAATACATGGTTTCTCTGTAGCTTTGGAGGCTGTCCTGGAACTCTCTCAGTAGACCAGGCTGGCCTCGAACTCACAGAGATCTGTCTGCCTCTGCCTCCCAAGTGCTGGGATTAAAGGCGTGAGCAATCACTTTTTTTTTTTGAGACAGGGTTTCTCTGTGTAGTCCTAACTGTCCTGGAACTAGCTGTGTAGACCAGGCTGCCTCTGCTGCCTGAGTGCTGGGATTAGAGGCGTGTGCCACTACCGCCTGGCCTTAAATTGGACTTTTAGACATGATGTTTGTCACAACTGACATTTTTCTGTTATTGTCTCTGAGAAATTTTTGGCAATATAAAAGAAATGTAAAATCTAAATTTCAGAAAATAAAACACCCACAATGAGCTAATTGATTAGCCCATTTTGAAAAAATAATCAGTTCTCAAAAATATTTCTTACTACTCAACTCTATTAGTGGAAATGGCAAATGGTTCCATGGGTAAAGTCACTGGGCACCATCCATGACGACCTGAGATCAAGCCCCAGGAACTGCATGATGGAAGGAGAGAACCAACCCCTAGCTCCGTGTTTTGAGCTGTGGTACTCACATACCTAATACACAAATGTTCAGTAAATACATGTAGGGGGCTAAGACAGGTGATTTAATAGTTAAGAGCATTCACTGCTCTTCCAAAGGAACCACGTTTGGGTCCCAGCACCCACATGGTGGACGCAACCCTTTGTAACTCCAGTTTCAGGAGATCGGATATTCTCTTCTGGCTTCCACAGTTACCAGGCAAGCACATGGTGCAGAGAGATATGCAGGCAAAACACCCATATACAAAAAGCAAAAAAATTAAAAACTTTTAAATAAGGAAATAAAAAGTAGGAAAATTCTATTCATCTTATAGAAAATATACTTATATAAATATGTTCATGCTTTGTAACATGAAAAGTAAATGACCCAGAGACTGATATTGGGGTTCAAACTTCAAGCTGAATATCAGAAAAGCAATGCAGCTGGCCAATAGGTCTTACTATTAGCTCAGGCGTAAAGGGCTGATGCACGAACGAGCTCTTCAGCAAGTCTCAAACTGCTGCCTCTCCTCAGCGTGGCAGGAGAAGGAAGGCCTCATACTGACTACTTGCTCCTGTCTTTTATATCCCTCTAGTGCTGGGATTAAAGTTGTGAGCTGTAATTTTCTTTTAGAGTGAATCGCTCTTGTTTAGATCTGGGTGACCTTGGACTCACAGAAATCTGTTTATCTCTTAATCCTGAGTCCCAGGATTAAGGTATATACTACTACCTCCTAGCTACTGTCTGCTACGATTAAAGGTGTGCGTCTGGCTTCTATGCTATGGCTTGTGGTTCTGAATCCTCAGGCAAGCTTTAATAAATCATAAATAATACATCACTACAATTCTTGTTACATAAAATATAAATTTCTATATATAATATACAATATAAATTCACATGCAATACATATTTATACTATAGAAAAATTAATTTTTATTTTCAAATTTGGGTTATAACTGTTTGTCTTAGTTGCAGTGGTGGCACAAGCCTTTAGTCCCAGAAGTTGGGAGACAGAGGCAGGCAGATCTCTATGAATTCAAGGCCAGCCTGGTCTACTGAGTGAGTTCCAGTACAGGCAAGGCTGCACAGAGAAACCCTGTCTCAAAAAACAAACTAGCAAATG